TGTTTCTTTTGCTGAGAAGAAGCTTTTCAGTTTGAATCCATCCCATTTATTAATTCCTGGTTTTAATTCTTGTATATTAGGAGTCTTATTAAGGAAGTGGGGACCTAATCCGACATGATTTAATTCCTAGGTCCTTAATCCACTTTGAGTTGAGTTTTGTGCATGGTGAGAGATAGGGGCTGAATTTCATTTTGCTGCATATGGATTTCCAGTTTTCCCAGCACTATTTGTTGAAGGGCTATCTTTTCTCCAAAAATGTTTTTGGCACCTTTGTCTAGTATGAGATAACTGTGTTTATGTGGGTTTGTCTCTGTATCCTCTATGCTATACTATTGGTTGACTCACTCATCTTTAACCAAAAAATGGCTCAACTACTTGATTCTACTTGATCTCTCCATCTCTTCCACCTTACAGAACAGACATGGGACAAAAGAAAGAGGTAAGTTTTGGCAAATACAAAAAGATGAATGAATGGTCCATTGGTAGAATTTAAATTTAAATGTTGGTAAAACAAGAAATGATGCAAGCAGAAGAGGAGACGTGGGAGACAGAGACTCTGCTTTAAGAGGAGGAGTCAGAAAGGGACAAAGTTCACCTCATGAATAAGGTTATGAAAGGAAACCAAAGACTCATGTTTGACATGAAAAATACATGAGGTAGAATTAACAACAAATAAGACACTGAATAAAAATAAAATTAGTCAAGGGAATGAGAGAATAATAAAACTAAATACAATGGAAAGCTAAGAGAATACAGAAAAATAAATAACACAGCATCAGCAAACTCTGGGGCAACTTTAAATAGCCAAATGTCATGTAATTGGAGTTCCCCAAGAAGAAAATAAAGAATAAAACAAAAATTGTTAATAATACCTGAAATTTTTCTGAAGTCAATAAAAACTATAAGCCACAAGTCCAAGAAAGTCAAATCCACAGCACAAAAAGCATAAAGAAACATGAAGTTACACATGAATTGCTTAAAAGCACTAACAATGAAAAAAATCATAAGCAGAGCCAGAGAGGGAAAAGATTAGATGCAAATTTTCCAGAAATAATGCAAGATGACAATATAGCAACATCTTTAAAATATTGAAAAAAAAACTAGATTTCTATACACAGTTAAAATTGTTCTCAAAAACAAAACACCATATTTTTACAAATTCAAAAACTGAAAAAAATCCATTACCACTATAATATAATAAATGTTATATTATAATATACTATATAAATGTTAAATAAAGTCCTACAAGCAAAAACAAAATGATACCAGGAAAAAAAAACCCTGGATATACACAAAGAAATTAAAAGGATCACAAATGTAACTAAGTAAATAAATATAAAGACTTATGTTTTTATTTAAATTATTCAAAAGGTAATCAACTATTAAAAGCAACAACAATACTGTATTGTGGGGTTTATAATATTGAAAGGTATGAGAATAAGAGCACAAAGGACAGGTAAGGAGAAATGGAAATAATACTGATGTAAAAATATTATTATCATAGTTGAGGTTCTACATATTACAAAACAGATTTGCAGTAAGTTAGAGATATGTACCATAAATGCTAAAGAAACCATGAATGAAAAAGTTAGAGGTAACAATATAACAAAGGAGATAAAAATAATTTTTAAAATGCTGATTCAATGCAATCCCCATCAAAATATCAATGATGTTCTTTATAAAACTTGAAAAAAATTCTAAAATCTGTATATAACTACAAAAGATCCAAACACACAAAGCAGTCATGAGCAAAAAGAACAAAAAGGAGGCGTCATACACCCTGACATCAAAATATACTTGGAAGCTGTAGTAATTAAAACAGCATGGTCTTGGCATAAAAATAGACACAGACAAATGGAAAAAGATAGAGACCCTAGAAATAAACCCATACATGGAGAGCCCACTGATTCTCAACAAAGATTTTAAGAACACATAGTAGAGAAAGGACAGTCTCTTCAACAAATGGTGCTAAAGCAATTGGACAGCCACATGAAGGAGAATGAAACTAGACCCTATCATTCCCTGGTTAGAAAAAGCATCTCAAAATGGATTGAAGACTTAAATGTAAGGTGCTATAGTAGGAAACTACTAGAAGAAAACATAAGAGAAATGCTTTAGGACATTGGAAAGGGCAAGGATTTTTTAGACAAGACTCTGAAGCATAGAACAAAATCAAAAATTGACAATTGAGGTTATATCAAACCTAAAAACTTCTGCATAGAAGAGGAAACAATAAACAGAGTAAAGACACAGTCTACAGAATGGAATAAAAAAAAAACCTGTAAACTATACATCTGACACAGGATTAATCTCCAGAATATGTCAGGAACTCAAAAATCTCAACAACAACCAAACAAAACCCTGGCTTAAAAATGAGTAATAGACATTAAGTGTATGAAAAAAAAAATGCTAAACATCATTGACCATTAGGGGAACACAAATCAAAACTACAATATCACCTAACCCCAGTCAGAATGGCCACTGTCAAAAAGACAAAAAAAATGCTGGTAAGGATATGGATAGAAAGAAACACTGCACACTGTTGGTGAAAAAGTAAATTAGTATAAACATTACAGAAAACAGCATATAGGTTCCTCAAAAAGTTAAAAATTGAACTACCATACAATCCAGCAATTCTTCCACTGGGCATATATCCAAAGGAAATGAAATTAGTATTTTGAAGAGATACCTGCACTCCCACGTTCACTGCAGCATTATTCACAATAGCCAAAAATTGGGAACAACTTAAGTGTCCATAAACTAATGAATGGATAAAGAAAATGTGGTACATATATACAATGGAATACTATTCAGCCATAAAAAGGATGAAATCTTGTCATTTGTGACAACATGGTTAGAACTGGAGATCATTATGTTAAGTGAAAAAAACCCAGGCACCAGTACTGTATGAGCTCACTTGTATGTGAAATCAGAAAAGCTGAGAGTAGAAGTAGAGACTGGGTAGAGAGTAAGTGGGGGAGAAATGGAAAAAGGTGGATCAGCTAGACAGGATTAAGATTTCTCGGGCTGGGGATGTGGCTCAAGTGGTAGCACGCTCGCCTGGCATGTGTGCGGCCCGGGTTCGATCCTCAGCACCACATACCAACAAAGATGTTGTGTCTGCGGAGAACTAAAAAAATAAATATTAAAAAAATTCTCTCTCTCTCTCTCTCTCTCTCTCCTCTCTCTCTCTTTAAAAAAAAAAGATTTCTGGTGTGCTACTGCACTATTGAGTGACTATAGATAACAATAATGTACTGTAGATTTTTTAAAAACTAGAAGAAAGAAATTCAAGTGTTTATAACTATAAGGAAATAAATGTTTGAGGAGATGTTTTTAACCTGATTTAAACAATGAAAAGTATAAATGTATCAAAATTATCACATGATAACCCTAAATTTAAAGTATAATTTTTGTGGGTTTTTTTAAGTTAAAAATAAATCTAATTTTAAATTTAAAATATTTTTAAAAAATACACAAGAAGGGGAGAAAAAGGAAAATAAGAGGAAAGAAAGAGCAAATAGAACCAAGAGAAAATAAATGGTAAAATTATAAATTTCAACCTAATCATATCAATAACCAATTTACATGAAAACAGTCTAAACACAATAATTAAATGACAGTGATTTTTCATATTAAGGAACAAAGTAAGACAACTGTATGTTACATACAAGAATCTACTTTATAGCAACCAAACGTGATGAAAATACATACCATGTAAATATTAATCAAAAGAAAGCTGAAGTTATTATAATAATATCAGAGTAGATTTTACAGCAAAGAATATTACCAGAAATCAAGTTAATTTCACACTAATAAAGAAAATCAGTTGACAAGGAAAACATTAAAATCCTAAACATTTTTCACCTAATAAACAAACTGATTTCTCAAGAAGACATAATTTTAAACTTAAGCACAAAATTAAACATATTCAAAATAAAAGTAAAACTGATTAAACTGCAAGTAGAAACAAATTCATATAATTATAATCAGAAATTTCAAAATTCACCCCTGTCAATAATTGGTGGAACAGATGGTCGAAACTGAGTAAAGAAATTGGGACAGTTAATTTTATGTCAATTTGGGTCAACAAAGGATGCTGAAATAGCTGGTAAAGCATTATCTGGGTCTGGGAGGGTGTCTCTGGAAGAGATTAGCATTTCAATTAGTCAACAGAATAAAAATTAGTCCCTACCAAAGTGAGGAGGAGAATTCATAGGGAGTGAACTAGAACAAAAAGAGCAAGGAAAGGCAAGTTCACTACTCTTCTGGAGAGGAAACATATTTTTGCCTCTGCCCTTGACATCTGAACTCCAGGTTATGGGACCTTCCTACTCTGGGATTAAAGCCAATGTCTTCCCAGGTTTTCAGGTTTTTGGCCTCAGATTGAGTGTTACCAGCTCCCCTGATTCACAGACCTTCCAACATCACCAGCTGTCCTGATTCTCAAGCCTGTGGGACTTCTTTATTTCCATAATAAATACCTTGTTACGCACTGAGTGAAACAGAACTAAAAGAACTGAACACCCCTATAAACCATCTTGACCTACTGCTATCTATGGAATACTACAACCAACAACACAGAATACATATTCTTAACAAAGGTGCATGAAATATTTACCAGGGCAGGTCATATTCTTGATCAAAGGCAAATATTCACAAATTTAAAAGCATTCAAGCTATTAAAAATAAGCTCTTAAAAAAACAGTGGTACTAAATTCAAAATGAATAACAAAAAGATATCTGGAAAAAACAAATATTTGTAAATTAAATAAAAGACTTTGAAAGAATGTGAGTCAAAAAACATTAAGACATGTTCTGAACAGGAAGGAAAATTCAAATAAGCATGTAAAATTTCCTGGATGCAGCTAAAATAGTACTCAGAGAAAACTTAAAACACTACAGGCAGACTTGGATATGCTTATTCAATAGTGTGATCTATTTTCTTTAAGGAGAACTGTAAGGCTATAAATAACAAGTGATGAAATTATTATTCTTACCTTGGACACATTGCTGACATAATTCATTTGGACAGTACTTTCCTTATCAACTTGATTACAAAGGTTCTGTAAAGAAGATGCATATTCTTTATCACTTTTTATCCTCAGAGCCATAAATTTCTTCACTGTTTCCAGCAATCGTAATTCCCAGTCTTGCAATTTTAACACAGCTTCATGTGAGTTCTTCAGGTCACTCCCAAACCCCATTTTTGTAAGGCACTGCTTATCCTCCACACTGTTCAAGTGAGCCTTCTAATCAGCACATATCTGTGTAAGTAAAAATAAAAAAATAAAAAAATCTTAAATCAAGGGAAACAGTCTTCAAAGCAAAGCTATGGCCCATTCCTCTTAGGGATTAAAAAATAAAAGAAAAATCACAACAACTGAATGCTTTCTCCCAAATGTCAGAAAAAGATGTCCACTCTATTGCTGATATCCATTCAGTATCATACTAGAGACTTTGTACATTACATAAATACAAATTTTAAAATTTGGATTAGAAAGGAAGAAGTAAAACTATTTTATTTGCAGATGGCATCATATTATATACAGAAAACCTTAAGAAATGCAACAAAAAAGTAGTTGAACTAATAAATAAGGGCTGGGGTTGTGGCTCAGTGGTAGGGTGCTTGCCTTCCATGCCTGAGGCACTGGGTTCAATCCTTAGCACTGCATAAAAAAAAAAAATAGATATAGATAGACAGATAAAACAAATGTATTGTGTCCACCTACAACTAAACAAAAATAAAAAGAGGGCTGGAGTTGTGGCTGGGCAGCAGAGTGCTTGCTGTGGACACGTGAGGCACTGGGTTTAATCCTCAGAACCACATAAAAATAAATAAACAAAATAAAGGTACTGTGTCCATCTACAACTAAAACAGAAAAGAAAAAAAAGAAAAAAGGAATTAATAAATGAATTTAGTATATGATATAAGATAAATATTCAAAAATCACTTATATTTCTGTATACCAATGACAAGTCAAAAATAAAATTAAAAAAATACTATTTACAACAGCATAACAAAATTTAGAAATTTTTTTTATTTTTAGTTGATGATAGATCTTTACTTATTCATTTTTATGTGGTACTAAGAATCGAACTCAGTGCCTCACACATGCCAGGTAAGTACGCTACTACTGAGCCACAGCCACAGCCCCTAGAAATAAATACTTTTAAATGTAAAACCTATACTCTTTTTAAAAAAATCTTTTAGATATAGGTGGACACGATGTCTTGATTTTACTATATGTGGCACTGAGGATCAAACCCAGTGCCTCACACATGCTAGGTGAGCGCTCTACCTCTGAGCCACAACCCAAGCCCCAAAACTTATACTCTTAAAACTATAAACCAGATAACATTGTTGAGAGAAAATTTCAAAGACCTAAATAAACTGACTAATGTTCAAAAACAATTTTTTAAGTTAATATTGTTAAGAAAGCAAGCCTTACTAACTAAAACTACAAACTTAACATAATTTATATTGACATCTCAGCCAGTATTTCTGCAAGATAGACAACACAAAATACATATGATAATAAGGGAAACAGAATAATTACCAAAAAAGTCCCAGAAAAAAGAATAAAGTTGCAAGACTTACTTTTTCTGATTTCAAAACTTTCTAAGAAGCTTTGGTACTCAAGATAATATGATATAAACACATGGCCAGACACAGACATCAATGGAGTAGTGGGCCCTGATAAATCTTCAAACTTAAGGGAAAATGATTTTCTATGAGTCTATTCAATAAGAACAAAAAGTATCCTCAACAGAGGGGTACAGGGACAGCTAGATTTTCACAGGCAAAAAAAAAAAAAAAAAAGAATGATGCATACACAAAAATTAACTCTAAATGAACCACAGATCTAAATTTCAGAGCTAAAAGTATAAAACACTCAAAAGAAAATACAGGTGTAAATTTTTGTAACCTTGGCTTAGGCAATGGTTTCTTAGATACAACAACAAAAGCATAAGCATAGCAAAATATATATACATAAATTAGATTTCATCAAAATTAAAATTTTCTGTGCTTCAAAGCACACCATCAAGAAAGTAAAGAAAATCCAAAGAATGAGCAAAAATATTTGCAAATCATATATTTGATAAGGGGTCTTTATCTAAACTATGTAGAGAATCCTTATAAATTAATAATAAAAAGACAAACCAATTAAAATGAGCAAAATATCTTTCATTTTACCAAAGAAAACATACAATGCCCAAAAAGCACATGAAAAAATATTCCATAATATTATCCATTAAAAATGCAAATCAAAATTTCAATGTGATAGTAATTTGTACCACTTGATACCTATAATAATCAATAAAGACATAAAAATGAGTGTTGGAGAGACTGTTAAGAAATTAGAAGTTAATGCTCTACTAATAAAATGTAAACTGGTACGGCCACTACAATTTGGCAGTGCCTCAAATGATAAAACAGAGTTGCCATATGATCCAGAAATTCTACTTGTTGGTATATACTCAAGTGAAATTAAAACGTGTTTATGGGACCAGGAGATGTAGCTCAGTGTTAAAGCTTACCATATACAAGGCCCCAAGTTCTATGTCCAGTACCACATTTTAAAAGAAACAAAATATCTACATGCACACTTGTACATTAATATATAAAACAACATCATTCTATAGCCACAAAGTGAAAACAACCCAAATACTCCTCATCGATGAGTGGATAATTAAAATATGATCATATTCATATAATGGAATATTATCTGCAAAAGAAAAGGAATGACATATTAGTACAGGCTACAACATGGATGAACCTTGAAAACATTTTGCTAAATGAAGAAAGCCAGACACAAAAAACCACATATTGTATAATTCTTCTACAAGAAATTTCCAAAAAGGTAAATTTCGAGATAGAAAGATTAGTGACTGCCTGAGGTTGTTAAGTTTGGGGGAAATATAGAGTTACAGCTAAGAGGTACTGGACTCCCTTTTGTGATAATGAAAACTGATTAAAATAATGATTGCACAATTCTGCAAATGTACTAAAAACAACTGAACTATAGTTTCAATGGGTGAATTCCTTAGTATGTTAATACTATGATTTGTCTAAGGTAGAACCCAAGACTTCATTTGTTAAAATGTAATCACCTTTGTGAGATGTCACGAAAGTAGAAAATTAATAGACTGTGATGTTTAGATGTTGGAACTTTGAAAGGTAATTAGGATCAATTAAGGTCATTAGGGTGGAGCCCCATGATGGAATCCTGTTGGCTTTATAAGAGAGAAAGAAGCCAGAAAACATGCATACACACACACACACACACACACACACACACACACACATGCACACACACTATCTCTTGCCATGTGATGCCTTGCACCACAAGAAGGCCATTACCAGATATGGCCTATTGACTTTGAACCTTTAGAACCCTGAATCAAAATTAATCTCTTTATAAATTCTTTATAAATTCACCCATGTTCTAGCATTACAATACTGGCAACAGAAAATGGACTAATACAATGAACTATACTTATAAATTTAAAAACTTATTTTAAAAAACACTTGTTTTAAAAATCACTACAGCATAACTTAATGATCACCTACTGGTCAGTTATTATAAACTTTCCCAAAATATCCTCCTTGTCCACTATAAATTCTGAAAACTATGGTAGTAAGTATTTTGTCCTCCAGTTTCCTAGAATTTCAGTCATTGAATCTATCAGAGACAGAAGAAATGCAAAAACACACCTTATATGTCTAATTCTAAGTCATCCATACCAAAAGTCAATTTTCTCTTAATTCAGCTGATATTCTCTAAGCTACACAGAAAAACTAGGAGGGGTTTCTCTCCCTTACCTCAGTGATTTCATCTAAAGACATGGTAAAAAATGAGGATTTCCTAACTAGAGAATAATTCACAATTTTTTCCCAATTAAAAGCTGTCCAGTTTTATGAAATATCAGCTAAGTAGAAAAAAATTAAAGTTGTGAAAAATTCCATTTCATTAGTGTTTACAAAGTAGCAACCAAGACACTAACTGAAACTTAAATCATTAGAAATCAATTGACTTGATTCACTTTAATATCAAATAGGATGATTCCCTTTTTATTTTGTTTTGTTTTGTTTTGTTTTTGTGGTGCTGATGATTGAACTCTACCACTGAGCTACATCCTCAGCCCCCAGTTTTTGAATTCTGTTTGCAATGGCTTTTTAAAAAATTCTTAGGGGCTGGGGGCATAACACTGAGGTAGAGTGCTTGCCTACTTATCATATGTGAAGCACTGGATTCCAGAGGAAGGAAGGAAGGATGGAAAGAAGGAAGGATGGAAGGAAAGGAGGGAGGGAGGAGCTGGGGGAGGAAGGGAGATGGATTGATTTTTGACATATTGTATCTTTTATGGGTCACAAAAATTTACAATGAACATTTTTCTGTTATTTTACCTGCCGCTAACTCAACAAAGTCTGAGTGGAGATATTCGATATCATTCCATGTTTTCAACAGAATAGGATCATATTTTGAAGGCAAAGAAAGGTAAACTTTTTCATTTTTTAAAAAAACAGTTAAAGCTGAGATTACAATTCATTTTATTCTGTAACTCAGCATAAATATCATCTCTGCTTCTAAATGCATCTGGATAACAATTACTTTCTTTCATTATCAAGAACTTCAGAAGGATTGTGAAAGCACTGAAGGAAAAAAAAGGAAAACAGAATCTGGCACAATCTGGGAAACACTCCAGCCCATCTTAAGGTCAGAGTGTGGATAAGATAACTTAGTATATGGTACCTCTCTTTCTTTAAGTAATAAAAAAAAAATACAAATTTTTTTTAAATTCTGTAATAAATTAAGAATATATATAATTGTTAGACTGATAGTTATTACAAATACTTAAGAACTTAATAGAAGTATATGCTCCAAATAATTATCCCATAGAAGTCAAATAACTAATCATTGTAACAGTGTTTGCAATTTAAAAAAAAAAAAACTAGAAGTATTAAATATCCACCATTAAGCAGGATGCATTTGATTATAGTTGAATAATTCCAGGGGTGCAATTCAATCATAGACTGTGAATGTGTTCAGTGCCCAATGTTCACAATCATATGTGTTTCTAATATCATTCAGTCCTAATAAAAATTAAGGAAATATTGGTAAATTGATATGGAACTATCTTGAAGAATTACTAGACAGAAAAGAAAGATACAAACTTAGTATGCTAACTTTGTATAAAAGAGAAAAAAAGTAACATTCATTTTGCTTGAAGTATATAAAATATTTCTACAAGAACAAATAGT